CATTCCTGCCCACAGAATTTGTTGCATGTGTGCCCACAGTTCAACTTTTTCTGGCAAGGTTCTTGGCAAAGAAACTCACTGTCTGGAGTAGAACATGGAACCATCTGCAAGTGGCCACACTTAGAAATAGTTTTCTCTACTATCACCATGCATGGTCCACAGGGCTCATAACATGACCGTGGACAGCGGTGCCCATCTGCACAAAGCACCTTTTGACAAGGCTTCAGACACTGATACTCTTTGTGCTGTACGTCATAGGGGTGACAGGCCCTTGTGCAAACATGTCCACAACTCAACCTAAATTCACAGGGACGACTGCAGCCTCCTTCTGGGACTTTGCTGAAGTCAGCTGCTGTAGATACCAGTGTTTTGGTTTCAGGGTGGTTTTGACAGCAAAGCACCAATGAGCGGCCAATGTGACCTTTCTCCCGAAGGGTGTGAATGATCTTGCTCCAGAGAGGAACCTTGCCAAGCATTCTCATATTTCCAATACAATATAGACCTTTCTTGGCTCTGGATAATGCTACGCATATCCGATTAGGTATCTGTAAGAACCCAGTTCTCTCCTCTTTGTTGCTCCGCACGAGTGACAGCAGAATAATATCATTCTCCTCCCCCTGGTACTTATCTACTACATGAACCTTCACACCTGCAAAGGTCTTGGCTGGCATGAGCTTACGCAGACAGAAAAGCTGTCCAGTATAAGTAGTGAGAATGGTGATCTGAGAAGGTAAATAATCCTGACACAAGAAGTACTTGCACAGTTCCACGACAAACTGGGCCTCATGTGGGTTCTGGTGGCTTTTCCCTTCCTGGATCTCTTGCTCAGGAAAGTCATGTTCCACAAAGAATAGGTTAGATAAGACCCCCTGAAACAAGAAAAAGGAATGTCAGAAAAAGAATTCTAGCTTCTGTCATTGCAGCCTGTTTCAAATGTCCCCGATTACCCACTGACAGGAGGACTCTTAAGGAGAGGGCTATAGTATGCAGTTCCTGCACACTTAGGCAACTACCTCTTAGATTTCCATAGCGTGTTCATCAGATAGGAATTTAAGCTTATTAATAACATTTCAGCTTATTAGTGACATTTCAGTATCCTAATGTGAAAGCAGTTCCTGTGTATGATTTTATTCCCTATCTTTTCAGAGTTGTTTCTACTGCACCTTTTCAGGTTATAGAAGAGAGAAGATTCAGTGCTAATAACATTTCTCAAAGCATCATAGCTCTGTTTCCCATCTGTGGCTTGAACGATGTCTTGTTTTGGGCATGCAGGAAAAAGATAGTAAGTTATCAGTGCACAAGGCTTAGCACTTGCCTAGAACTGCCTGGCAAAAACCACGCCTTCTCTGTTACTGCAGTAAAACCATAAAGAAGCAAGGAGGATTGCTCTTCCACCAGGAAATCTAGCAACACTAGGGACTCCAGTAGCCGCTTACCAGCCCCAGGGCTGTAGAGTTGTCTGCTCACCTATTAAAAAATTCTATTTGCCTTGAGTTAGCAGGGACCTTTATCTTTTGCCTAATTGACTGGAATTCTTCTGCCCATAAGAAATGCCTGGGCTGTGTGCCAAAATCCAGACTGTTTTTATCAGGAAAGAACAGTTTTTGTAGATCACACTCAGATCTCTGGTTTTCCAAGGTGTCCATAGTGACATAGAGTCCACTGCTGTACAATTTAATTCAGTGTTCACCTCTGTTGGTTATTGTACTAGATAGGAAGATTCAATTTTGATGCTTTTTGGTATCTCAAGTTTGTTTTAAGGCCAGACAGAACCGTAAGATTCTCCAGAAGAGCTTCTCATAGGAGAAATGGGGTAAAATTTTGTGGTCTCCTAAGTTGTGCGTTTTGGGTGGGGTTTTTTGTCGATTGGTTTTCTGTTTGTTTGGGTTGGGGGGGGGGGAAGGCAAGGAGGGGGTGTTTAACTAAAGCATCTTCTACAAAATACTTGATCTGGATTTCAAGATACCAAAAGAGGACCTGCCACTTTCCCAGACAGCTTATTCGAGTAATTAAATAATCTTCAGTATCAATTTTCTCTTGTCTGGCTTCAGTGTTCTGCTGCAGATTTCAGTATGCTTTCCTCATCTAGTTAAAGAGCTTTTAACTAATTAGTACTGTCTTTTCATGAAGAGAGATTTACATAGGCTAAGCTACTGTAATCCTCTTTCTGTAACTACCTCCAGTTCTTTCTCCCAGGGTATTCAGTCGCTTGTGTTTCAGAGATCCAGGGCCTAGACCTGACATAGCATAGCAGCGTAACCGGGGCTAAGACTCCTAGGGAAACAGTTAAGTTGCGACAGAGAGCTGTGAGCAAGTCTGCAGAACAGGGCTAGGCAAGATAAAAACGTAAAAATTCCAGACAGAGATGATTGTTAATAGTTCAAAGATGGAAGAAAAGCACCAACACGGAGAGACACAAAATTGTAATTAGGGTGGGCAAATACAAATCCGAAAACAGGCAGTTAGTGTTAAGATGGAAACTCAGTAACATTAAGGAAGAAGCAGAAGCTGACACTTCTTCTGACCGATACCTGCCTGACTATAGCAAAGACTCTTCAAGTGTCTTATGGTGTGGCAAGCATACTAATGCTTATAACTCATTAAATTGTAGCTGTTTATTGTACATGTTAGCCAATAAGTGATTGCTTTGTACTTTTAAGATTATAGATCTTGTTTGCAGATGCTGTGTATGGGTAAAATGCACAAACAGAGAACCCAAGGAAGGATGGTTCCAGTAATGAAGTTACATTCCTTACACTGGAGTTTCACGTATCATGCTTTAACTCTTTCATTTAAGATCTCTTCCTAGCTTTCAATCTCCTACAAGTCTTTTGGTCCCTCTTCTGTTTTTCACAGTTCTTTTGAAGTCACCTGTACTGGATCCATTTCCAGTGTCCACTATCATTAATGCCAAAAGAACTACAAATTACTTGCCTAATTCTATATCACACATTTCCTTGATTCAGGATTAAATTTCAGTAACTAAACTTGATCTAAGAATTTGAAATCCCGAAACACTGTATTTTACAGAAACTCATTTTAGCCAGTAACAGGACAAAAGCAACTGCTTGGATTGCTGAAAACTCACTTTTATGTTCTCATACTTCAGGACAGAGGGATGGTTCTCCAGCTTCTGGTATATATGAGGACTGAGAAGCTGGGCAATTTCAGGACGCATGCGGTGCTGAAAACACAAAGCAGCTTTATCAGTTTTGAGGAAGTAGCACTACATTTCCCTGTCAATATTCTGTTGTTCCACTGTACAGACTGTGGCTGAATACAAGGATGATGTTCCAGTAAGAGTCAAGAAGGGAGCACCTCCCAATCCCCACCCCATCGCTGTCACCACCAGCAATTATAGGGGGAGTAGTAGCAGATTATCTTCAAGAAAATCATTTGGCAAGATTGTTGTAATGAGAATGGTAGTTTCAGCGCAAATCTAAGAACACTGTTCTAGCTAACAGAAGCCAGCACCTCACCCTAACCACTACATGAGCTTTTCTAGGTAGTTTTAATACAGGACTGCTTGAGGTAGAATTAACTCTCTCCAGGCACCAAGATAGAGGATTACAGCAATTTAGCAGGAAGCAGCCTGAGGAGACTTTGTGCTGTCAGTTTCCAGAGTTCTGGAAGTTTCACATGCCACAAGCAGCCACGTTCATTGCACTAAAACATGTGGGAACCATGACATCACTGAATGACTGGAAATACACTGGAACACTGTTTGTGGCAGTTTAACAGCTCTTACCATTCTTCTCAGGAATTAAATAGCCCATTCTTTTCTTTTAGGTTGCTCCAAGAGTAAAAAATATAATCTTAAGTGTACTACAAGCTTAAAACAGCCTAAATGCACATGCAATTGAGTTTTTTTATAGTTCTTCCTCACTTGGTATGTCAGGCAGACAAAGGGGAAATTGACTTTCACCAGCCGTTCAAAGAGAGAGACTTCGAGATTGAAGTTCTTGGCCAGGTCATATACATTTGCACTAGGCCGCAGCTGAAAGAGAAGGGATAGGAGGTCCATATTTTAGCACTTTTCCTATATATTAGTAAGAGTTTTCACTCATTTCTTTTTCTACCACTGGTCCCCCCTCGAAAGGCCAGAGACTGGATTCTTGCAGAAGTGCTAAGTATCCACGTTAGGTACAGTTACAACTGAAGCGGATACAAGCACATGTAAAACCGTTTGAGTTGAACTAAAAGACAAGTCCCACAGGAGCTCCACTCCAAAACTACAGGAGACAGGACCTGTGGCATCTGTGGAAGCCGGGGAGCAGTAAGTCTTCGAAACTTTTCACATATGGTGTTTGGTTGAAAGTTTCTAGTTCATTTGCAAAACAGTCAGATGCATTAGTCACGGATATTACCTGCTGGTGATCTCCAATGAGGATGAGATGCTGGCAGGCTTTACTCAGAGTAGTAATGGTGTGAGCCTCAAGCACCTCTGCTGCCTCTTCTACCATGACAATTCGTGGCTCTACTTTTTGCAAGATCTGACGGTATTTGGCAGCACCTGAGCAAAGAGAGAAGATAAACCTTAGCTGAATTGAATTACATGCAGGCAGTACAAGAGTTTTCAGTAAGGGGAGCAGGCTGTGTCCCAGAAGAGACTGGCATTCTTCCCAAGACTCCCCATTTCAAGACTCAGCTTTTTGAACTTTAAAACAGCACCATACCAAGGACGGCTTCTTTATGAAGAGTCATTAGGGAAGGCAGGTATGGATTAAGAGTCCTATGCCTGCCTTGGCCCTTTCCCGATGCTCTCTTCAGACATAAGATACCTACTCAATACATTGATCAAAACACATAAGCCTAAAATTGTCTCTCCAAAGGGTCATATTACAATGACCTTTACACAATCATCACCAGAAGGTAATGTGGGGATAGCAGTGCAGATATTAGCTGTGCTTTACTCAGGCACAAGAAGTGGAACATTTCTATTAGAATACTGCTGCTCGAGATGGAGCAAGTGCCAAAGTGCACAAAAACTACTCATGCAATTAACTGACAACTTGCATAATAGCCACATTTGCAAAGGGAGTCAGAGTTTAATAAGGCTGCAGATTAATGAAGAGCCTGACCCAGGCTGTCATGCAGTACATGATACTAAACTTTTGGCAACAAGGTCCTTTAACAGTTACTGGATGCAACGCAATATCGGTTTGCTTCCTAACTGCTATGCACCTGTAGTTGTCATCCCCACAACCTGGGCCTCCTTGAGAATGCAGAGATCTTCCTGCAGCCTCAGTTCTGTCAGCCTCTCTGCTGCTGCCTGATACTGCTGTTCATGCTGCAGAATCCTCCGTCGAATAAACCCCTGATAGGTCTGCAGCCAAAGCCTGAGAAGAAAGTGGCATTATCACACACAGCAAGGGGAACATGATACTGATCCAGAAGTTTTGAGTGGATTAAGTTCAAAACTTCCACTGTGTCTTTTAGGCAAGAGACATTAGCATCTCTACTTAGTCCTGAACACACACAGTGGAGATGACAGTACTGCCCATGCAATACAGGGAAGGTAAGAACAAGCATGCCAAAATAAGGAGCTGAACAGATACGTACAGAAACACTGTGGCTTGAAAGAAAGCGTTTGCAAACTGGAGCAGTCCTAGGAAACACTTGCCTGACAGATCCTGCAAAATAGCTTTGTCACCTGTAAAGCCTCCAGCGGGAGCTCAGGTCAAGTTGCCACAGATCCTGAACAGCCTTGGCCTCTAACTCTGTCATTGCACTCAGTTTACGGAGCTCAACCTTCATCTTCTGTTTCATTTTCTTCCTCTGGGCAGCAGTCACCTGCAGAAAAGAGCTCCCCAATAAGCAGTTACAGCACAAAGATTCTTCTGTATTAGCACCCCCATATTATTCTTTACACACTCAAGTAGAGCCAGAGCATGCTAGTGCATGCAGTTACCTTCCACTGCATAGTCTTCTGTTGTGGTTGGGCTGATCCTTCTTCCTCGTCTTCCAGCTTCATAGCCAACAGCATGCTGGCTAGTTCATTAGCAGTTCTGTGCTCTTCCTCCTTCCTTCCCTGAGTCTTTGCTGCCTCTTCATCCTCAATCACTCTGTCAGCTTGAATCAAGTCAGCCTCCTCTGGGATCTCCAAAAGCTCCTCTTCTGCTTCACCTTCCCACTTCTCCTCTCTCTCCTGCTGACCACCTGTGAGAGTCACCAGTCACAAGCAGTAAGCCACAGCCACTCTAGCAGAATCACAGTGCAGCAGTCAGATCACTATGGGGAAATTAAGGTTAATTTTCTTTCCACTACCTTACCACATCATGCATCTTTCAGCATCTGTTAAGTAGCAATGTCTTTTCTGACACACATGCATTGCTTAGGCAAACACACCTTGAGGGGGGGTGGGGTGGTAGTGGTTTCTGTTTGTTTGTTGGTTGGGGTTTTTTTACCTGAATTCTCAGCCCCTATATTCTCTGCAGCATTCTGGGTGAAGACAGTTACACCAAGGCCCAGCCACTCCAGAATCATTGAGTGTTGTGAAGCACTGTAGTAAAACTCCTCATCATCCTAATACAAGGAAAGTCAAATGAGCCAGGCCTATTGCACTTCAGAGTCTCAGGATGATGCCAGAGCAGCACCCTGCAGCAGCAGGCAACTAGGACAAGTCCCCTGAGAGACCTCCAGAGCTAGAAATTCTGAGCAGCCTCAGATCTTCAGAAAGAGCATCCCTCCTCCCCCTTCAGTTTAAGAGGCTGTCATTTGTGCACTTGTATTTTTATGCTGATAAAGATCACTTAGAATCTCTGCAGTTTAAAAGAGCAAAATTTAAAGCCCCTGCTTGCCCCACCTGGTCTAGACTACTGTCACTTGGCACAGCTTGCTATTCACTCCCTCACTTTCCTAGTAGCCAAGTAATGCCAAAATGTGTGCTTGGGGAACATCAGATTCATTGGCAGAAAGGGAAGTAAGCTTACACCAGGACTGCTTGACTCAGAAGAAAGGGACCTATCTTACCAGACCATTCATCAGACTGTCCCAGTGCTGGGGCGCAATGCATGCTTCCAAGTGACGCTCATGCAGAACTCCGTATGTTGTGCACTCCAAGTGCTTTGCTCCTTCATGGAGCTCCTGCTCAGCCCGTTTCATCTCACTGGTTATCTACTCATAACAAAGGGAAGGGAGGCATTATCACACTCAGAGAAACATAGTTCAGAAACAGCAAGACAAGAAACTGATAAAGTGAACAAGGACAGAAGAATTAGAGGCTGACTTCAGTGTACGACGAGGCGAAGAAATAGGTGTGGAGGAGGTTTAGTTAGCTCCTCCAATGCACAGGCAACCCAGTCCCATCATCTCCAGTGAAGCCTGCACATACATTCACATAGGCTCTGCGGAGATGCATCGGCAAGTTGTATCGGAATTCACACTTCTTCCTCAGCTCCCTCAAGGTAAATTGCTTCAGGACCTCGCTGCTACTTCTGCCCCCAACACGCACCATCCCATGTTTTTGGAACATGTATATTCCTGGGAAGGAAAGAGAAACATTAGCACTAAAGAGGCAAGCACTGTATTCTGCAGTAGGACAAGGGGTAGGGAGAACACCCTTTGTCCGCAGATGCTACACTGGAATAGCCTGAGTGAATTTTTCTTACTGTGTATCGATGGGTCACTAGAAAAAGCCAAAAGGGGAGGTCATCGTGCCATAAGATGGGTGTCCTGGTTTGACTGGGGTAGAATCGCAGTCCAGCCATGCTTGGCAGGCTGTTGGCAGTTTTGAGTCAGCCAG